TCACACACACACTCTCTCTCACACACACACACTCACTCACTCTCTCACACACACACTCTCTCTCACACACACACACTCACTCACTCTCTCACACACACACTCTCTCTCACACACACACACTCACTCACTCTCTCACACACACACTCTCTCTCACACACACACACTCACTCACTCTCTCACACACACACTCTCTCTCACACACACACACTCACTCACTCTCTCACACACACACTCTCTCTCACACACACACACTCACTCACTCTCTCACACACACACTCTCTCTCACACACACACACTCACTCACTCTCTCACACACACACTCTCTCTCACACACACACACTCACTCACTCTCTCACACACACACTCTCTCTCACACACACACACTCACTCACTCTCTCACACACACACTCTCTCTCACACACACACACTCACTCACTCTCTCACACACACACTCTCTCTCACACACACACACTCACTCACTCTCTCACACACACACTCTCTCTCACACACACACACTCACTCACTCTCTCACACACACACTCTCTCTCACACACACACACTCACTCACTCTCTCACACACACACTCTCTCTCACACACACACACTCACTCACTCTCTCACACACACACTCTCTCTCACACACACACACTCACTCACTCTCACACACACACACTCACTCACTCACTCACTCACTCTCACACACACACACACACACTAATATAACATTGCATATTTGTAATATGTTATTCATCATCACTCAATAATGCATCCAGGTGTCAGTCAGTCACCAACAGTGTAGTAGAATGTGTGTCTAAATGTGTTTATGTCGACGGTCTAAACTGTGCTGTATTACATTAAAGCAATAAGCCCCAAGAAGACGTGGTTTACAGTGAATACAGTGCCTAAAACCCCCTTAGCGGTTATAAATTCACTGTAAACCACGGCTTCACAGGGCTTATTGCGTTTATAAAACGGTTATACGTAGTAAGGTTTCACAAAATAAAACAGAGCAAATAAAGTGTAAATGATATTAATAAAAACAGTATTCTTCCACCAAACAATGTAGTTCCTCAGAAACGGTTGTTTGTAGAGTAATTTACAACAGCTTTGAACGCGGCTCAGCCAATCAGAATCAAGCACCGGAACTCTCCGCTTTATAATAAAGCCTTACTTTCATATGATGTGCAATATGAATATGTGACAGAGATGAGATGGTTAACTAGGACTAATTCTTAAAAGAAGCATAAAAACATGTTACTTGAAATAAATCAAACTTAAAAAATAAAATAAAATAAAAAACAATAAACCTATTTTATTTTAGCTAGTTGCCAAGGCATTTAGTTAACTTGAAATAAAAATGAGTTTAACAGAAATAAAAATTAATAAAAATTATGCAGACATACATAAAAAAAACTACTAAAAATGAGGGGGGAAAAAACAATGAAAACCAAAAATATAAATATTTTCATAATATAAACTAATTTAATGAAAACAGAAAATACTAAACTTTTTAAAAATATAAATATAAAATATAAAAATTATATATATATATATATATATTCAAAATATAAAAACTATAGTAGCAAAATTACACTGATACAGTAAAAACAATTCTAAATAAAATGATCAAGGACGTAAACTTTAAATAAAGTAAAATAAAAAACAATAAACCTATTTTATTTTAGCTAGTTGCCAAGGCATCATTTCTCGTTTTCATTTAGTTAACTTGAAATAAAAACGAGTTGAGAAATAAAAATTCATAAAAACTATGCAGACATATATATATATATAAAACTACTAAAAATGTAGAAAATATAAAAATATTCAAAATATAAACTAACTTAATGAAAACAGAAAATACAAAACTTTTTAAAAATATAAATAAACAGAAAATATAAAAATGATATATACATATACAAAACTATAGTAGCAAAACTACAGATATGGTAAAAACTATTTTAAATAAAATTATCAAGAATGTAAACAAGTTTTTCTGTCAAGTCATATAGTTCATAAATAACAAAAGCCTCTCATATTCATCAAATATTTTAATAGAAATGAAAACGAGCCAAATGCAGCAAACCAACACTGGAGACCCATGAAGCTCAGCAGCTATAAAACACTCAGCTGTTGAAGAAAAACCGGCTCGGATCCGACCAGCTGGCCTTAAACCAAGTGTTGCTCTTTCAAACATAATGAGAATCATAATCACGAGTCCATGATTACATCTGCAACGTGATATTCTCACCTTCACAACAGCCAAGATTCCCCAATAAAGATGAAGCCGTCAGAAACGTGGTTTGCTGGTCTTAGCTGGTTTAAGATGGTCTTGGCTGGTTTAAGATGGTCTTAGCTGGTTTAAGATGATCTTAGCTGATTTTAAGCTGGTCTTGGCTGGTTTAAGATGATCTTAGCTGATTTTAAGCTGGTCTTAGCTGGTTTAAGATGATCTTAGCTGGTTTAAGCTGATTTTAGCTGGTCTTGGCTGGTTTAAGATGGTCTTGGCTGGTTTAAGATGGTCTTGACTGGGTTAAGATGGTATTGACCATGGTCTTAGCTGGTTTAAGCTGGTCTTGGCTGGTTTAAGATGGTCTTGACCATGGTCTTGGCTGGTTTAAGATGGTCTTGGCTGGTTTAAGATGGTCTTGGCTGGTTTTAGCTGGTTTAAGCTGGTCTTGGCTGGTTTAAGCTGGTCTTAGCTGGTTTAAGCTGGTCTTGGCTGGTTTAAGCTGGTCTTAGCTGGTTTAAGATGATCTTAGCTGGTTTAAACTGATTTTAGCTGGTTTAAGCTGATCTTAACTACTGGGAACCAGTTGGAAACGTTTGAGCGGAAACCTGTTATTTCCAAGATTATTCTGGCGACGAGAAATCAATGCCATCGAATGAAGCAATAAAAACATTTGACTGTAATCTGAACACAGTTTGAAAATGACTCGAAATGAACACGATCTGCTCACGTCGCATCCCAAATCCAATAGAAATACACACAAATATAGAGCATAGTTGTTCATTTAAATTGTGAAGCACTGTATTGGTTATACTGCCTGTGATTAAAAATACTGCATTACAGTAATGAAAATAGAACAAAAAAGTGGATCTTTTACAGTAATGGCTAAAAATGTGTTTCATTATTATGAAAATAATGTGACAATGCAAGAAAATAAAAATAAAGCATAACTAAACAACTAATTTCATTTTGTTTAAATTTGTTTAGTACACAGGACTGACGAATCCAGGTCACATTTCACGCCTAAATACAAAGAAGAAAGAAAGAAATAGAGTTTTACACAAAAATGAAGCATATTTAGGTCTCATCAATACTTTTAGAACAGTGATTTTCATGCTAATTATGCACATTTTAATCCCACGTTCTTATCAGATAAATAGTAGATTATATATATATATATATATATATTTATAATTGGCATTTTCAGCATTTATATATATATATATATATATATATATATATTTTTTCAAATATATATATTTTTTATTTCCTCCACTTCTAATGCAACTGTCCTGTTTGGCTGATGTTATTTTATTTATTTATTAATTTTTGAAATTAATTTTGTATTAGAAAATAAGTCAGATTATGCAAGTTAAAAGGATTGTAAACATCGTTTTCATTGACTTTAACCTAATTTGAAGCATTTTCTAAAGGCTAGATAAATCTGTGTATAGTGCATATAAAACTTTTAAAATTAATTAATATATATATATATATATATACTTTTTCAAATATATACATTTTTATATTATAAAAATATAATGCAATATAATATAATTAGTTACAGTTTATTGTAATATTATACTATTATTTAAATGTTTAAGGAAAGAGAATGATGCTAGTTTGTAGAGAACGAGGGCAAATGTGCTTAACTCTCCTGAAAATAATGTGCTACAGAAACCCCAAGCTTTAATAATCAGCTTCATTTTCTTTATGCAAAACACTTTCTTTCTTTCCTGCTTTCCTTCTTCGTGAGATAGTCCAGAACTCATCCCGCTGTACAAACATCAGTGTCTCACTGAAGGTAGCAATGAACCGTTGGCTAAACTAGAACCGCTAACCGCTGAAGAAGAAGATCCGGGAACAAGATGAAGAGGAACTCAACAGGTAGAATAACTGGAGTCTGGATCTCAGCATTCAGTGTGAGACGCTTTAGCAGCTACAGAACCAGATCAAGACACTTCAGTGTTTGTGTTGGACTGAGACTAGCGTGTAAACCCCGTCAATGTCTTCGTCTCTCTTCTGGATCCTCATGGTGCGGTCGAATGTGTTCCAGATCGAAGCCAGCCTCAGTCTCAGAAACACGTTCAGCTCATGATCAGCACCAAAACCACAACTCTGTTCTGCATAAACACACAGCACTCTTCATAGGCTTCACACGTCACATTATTCTCATGACTATCCAAACGCTAGCATTACTGTAATGCCAAATCATTCTGTCCAGACCCTGTTTTTATTCATTTTAAATAAAATTATTAAAAACTGCATACATTAAATTCAGTACAACTACTATTTTCCATTGCAATAATGCCATTTTTGCTTTGAGGTAACGAGAATAATATTTCACATTACGGTAAGTGAGAATTGTGGAGAAGGTGTGCAATCGTCATAAAAACAATTACATGATAATTGATAATTAAATCTTAATGGTCTTAAAAAATAATTGTTTCGGAATATTTATTACATATTTAATTCGAATCATATAATTATGCATGTAAAAAAAATTTAAATATAATATATAAAACATTTTCAGCATATATATATATATATATATAATCATAATTATGCATATAATAAAAAAAAGTATTATTTTATGTTTTTAATGTTTTATTATTATTTTATTATATTTATTTTTTATTTACATTAATTATTTTATATATGTAATTATATTAATAATTAATTATAAAAACATTATATAATTACATATATAAAACAATAAATGGAAAAATATGTAAAAATATCTAAATAACTATATATATAACTATATATCTCATCTCTCTCTCTCTCTCTCTCTATCTATCTATATTATAATGCCAAAAAGACCTATTTTATGACTTTAAGGATTGAACTATTTAATTTTTATGACACATCTTGTTGGTTTTGTGCTGAAATCTGAGCTGGAGGTGTTGATGTCTTGCTCCGGCGGCGTATCCCATCATCCCCTTCTTCTGAGGTCGGTGTGCTCATGACAAACACAGCTACTGTACAAACAGGGCTAGAGGCGCGAGTGTGTGGCACGATCCCGTCTGAACTGTGGGACACACACGGTCTACGGAGGGTGGTTTCACTAGGGTCCTCTGAGGCTGATACAGCTCTCTGTGTGTGTGTCTCAGCGTCGTCTTCCTCCTCGTCCTCGTCTCTTAGCAGGAGTCCGGCCCCGGCCCCCGACAGACTTCCCCTCGTCCTCCGGCTCTCTGGCGACGGCTTCTTCCTGTGCGAGCGTCTCCACTTCCTGTCTGCTGCTGCTGCAGGACTGTAGGGTCTGTGGGGCTGGTTCTGGACTCATGTGGTCTGCTGCTTCTCCTGAGGTTGAGCCGGACTCTTCGTGTGTCTTTAAGGCTTTATAACGCTGCACAGTGACAAATCAACAACAGATGCATTTTACATGACTGCTCACAATTCTGATGCTTTTCGAAAGCTTAGTTATGAGGGAATAAATTAATAATAAGATTGCATAAATTATGGGGAAGCTGCTTTAAATAGTGAGTAGTTCGTAGCTGAGCAAGATACAGTTAAAGTCAACAGGAAACTCTATTCACAAACCATTTGCTTCCATAAGATGTAAAATAGGATATTTAATACAGTGTTATTGTTAACTAAAACTGAATATAAATGTAAATATAAAATAAATATAAGATGAATAAGATTTAAAAAAATGTAAACAAAAATTAGATTAGATCTTTAGATTAGATTAGATTTAATTTAAAAATTAAATTAAAACTAAAATAAATCTAAATATCAAAAAAATAAAAAGACAAAAACATAAAATAACTCAAATGTAAACTAAAATTTAAAAATTAAAACACAAAAATAAAAACTAATTCAAAACATTAATACTATAATTGTATAGAAATAATGCTAAAATAACACTGATTCCAGAAAACACACACACACTCACTCTCACACTCTCACACACACACTCTCACACACACACACACACACACACACACACACACACACACACACACACACACACA